ACAGTTTGAAATGTTGTCACGGCTTTTAAAAATCCACCAATTTAAACGGAAAAACTCGCGAAAATTGTTGTTTATTATCAGCGTGTAATGATTTAAACTTAATTACTATTGTTTATGCATATTTTACAAATTGTTTTATTTTTTATAATTAGAATTCTTATTTAATTTTGTTGATTTTGTTTAAACCATGTTACATAAAAAAGTCTTGTCATTTAATCAATTTGTCATCAATTTTTTGTTCAAAATACCAATTTTTCATTATATTGTTTTAAATCATCTTTTGTAAAATAGTTTTATCATATTAGACCATTATACTCCTGCTTGAAGCTATCAGTATAAATATAACTGTAAACATTGCAGGTACAGTCCTCAGTTCAGCTTACCACCTCAATATGAATAGTAAGACGGGTTTACGTTTATACGCAAACACACTTTCTTTTAGTGTTTATCTTAATGTCATTGAAACGAGAAAGATAAGTTTATAGAAACTTTTTAAAACTCAAAATGCGTGACTTTTATAGTAAATGGTCACAAAATGTAAAAAACAGATTTTTTATTTCACTTTTTGTTTCAGCTTCTTCACAGCAGTGCTTTCTCTTTGAAATACTGAACTATGTAAAATATTTACATAAATGTATACTTATATGTATATGTATATATCTAAAAATGTAAAGTAAAAAGCATGACATTGGATAAAAAATATCTATAAAAAAATAGTCAAACTGTGAATAAATCAATATTTTGAAAAGAATTAAATATCAATGCAATTATTTGATTTCTTTTTAAAACTTTTAAGCTTTTGAAATGTTAAAATAGCAATATTTCGCATAATTTATTAGTATTATGATGTAGTTTTTTAAAGACTGAGATTTTATAGCATATCAAAATGTGCAAACTATTGGGTTTGGATAAATAGGGTTTCCCTCAAAGGATGAGAGTCTCCAAAATTCAATATTTTTTAATCTCACATTTATGGTTTTTTTTCTTCAATATTTATTTGTCTTTGTAATTTTCTTGAAATATAGGTCCGACACAAGCAAGGTGTAATCATAAGCGACAATATTTCATTTCTCTAGAGTAGAGTAGATATATCTTTCACATTGTTGGAGATAAAAACACATAATATTTTGTATTTTCAAACTTATATACATTACAATCTGAGAGCTTACAATTTCACCTATTTGACATTAATTTTTTCCACGGATTTGGCTTGAATCAAATAGATTCTAGTACAATAGATGGCAACGTAGAATTTGTACACTCTCAGTACGTACAGTTGTATTCTGACGTCGCAAGTGTCAATTCAGTTTTGTGTCCGACAAAATTATCAATAATAGTGATAATTTTAGAATAAAGTGCTTTTTTAGTCTTTTACGGAAGATCTGAAAACATTTGGATCAGTGTGCAATATATCGTCTAGTTTCCATTTTTATGTATTTTTATAAACTTTACATATATTTTGTCATATTTAGACATTGACCGTGAGTTGTGTATATCCCGAGCTGAGCAAGCTCTATCTGATGCCTGGAGAATATCCAACCTGGAAGAGGGGTGGAACTTCTCCACTAATGTTAATGGAGGGGGAACCTTGCATTGGAGAGAGGGAGACACGTGTGGAAAAATGAGGTGCCAAATTAATTATCAACCCTTAGCTAAGCATAGATATTTCCAACTATGAATTATGTTAGATCTAATCCTCAAAGTTTGAAATAACAAATAATAAAGGTTAACACCAAAAAATTGCAAAAATGGGATTGGTAAATTTTAGTTTATTTCTGAGAAAGACTTAAATTCCTTTAATCTTTCAGATCGCTTTCGTCTTTTGACACCAATTAATCCAGAGCGGAGAGCCCTAAACCGATCGGTCTATTTTTTCTAATATAAATGGGAAGGGGGGGGGGGGTGTTCCCCCCTCTATGATTTTTTCCTTCGAGATGAGATATAGGAGTGTGATGAATATCACTTTCCAAGTTTTCAAGGTCTTGCTCATTAAAAAAAATTATTCCTCTAACTTTAATGGTTAGGGTGCAAGGGAGGATTTTTAAAAAGTTTTAAAAAGTACGTAGGACAAATGTTGAAAATAATCATTTTTTACTTGTGACAAATATTAAAATGTTACACATGTAATAACATCCAATTTTCTAGGGCTTTTAAAATATATAAATCTAAGCATTGTAGCTTGATAATAAAAATATATTATCCTTTTTATTTTTATGAAATTGAAAACGACCTGCCCTTTCACTGTCATCCACTCTTACCTATGCATAAAAATAAATATTGTTTGCAAAATTTGTTCACAGCTATGATGTTGAAAAAGTGAAGAAGTTCTAATGTAAGCCGTTGTTGAGTTATTTAGAAAAAAACACAGGGGGGGGGTGGAAAATACCCCCCTCGCTCATCTTGACAGACATCTCTTACAAGTGAAATATATATTTGAAGTTACCAGGGATGATGGACATGAGACAGGCAAGGGTTGGAGGTGCTGGAAGTTAAAATTTGAAGTTGATGCTCCGATTCGCAAAGTGATTGATGTTATCATGGATGTCAATGATATGGCCAGATGGAACGCAGGCGTAACACAATCTTCGGTAATTCCATAGATTAATAACAATACAGATAGGACACTAGATATCATATTTTCAAGATTTAGGGGCCTTTCTACATGCTCAAAGGTGTTACGCGCATGCTCACTCTTTGTATTGTAATTAAACGCTGTCTGCGCGGATCTCCTTTGAAAAGCCCTTGACCATGCCATTTCAAATATGCAAAAATTTTTGCAAATTTTGAATAAACTGATTTTTAATCAAGAAAAACTAAAAATGTTCAAATTTCCTTTGACAGGTTATTTGCAAAAAATTTGCAATTTTTTTCGCAAAACTTGTGCAATTCGTTTCCTTATGTCAAAGGCTTTCCAAAAAGCTAAATTTTATCAAAATCTGACAAGTGGAAGTGGGTCAAAACAAAGATTTAGTTTGTTACAGTGTGCCTGAGGACTCAGGCAGTTAGTATTAAAGCCCGGTTTTAGGCCTAACGGGAGGGCTTTGGGTATGTAGGAAAAGTCAGAAAATTTCAACAGCCTCAGACCAATACTTTTTGAGTTATGTATAAAAAACTACAGGGGGGGGGGCAAAATTGCCCCCACCCCCCCAGCAGGAATAGGGTTAATTGAGACACATAGAGATTACATAGAGATTAGCATCGTTTATAAAAAAAAAGTTTAATACAACTTTTGTTAATCGTTTCGTTCGGGTTTGGAAGACAAAAAACAAAGCGACTAAATCACAGGTTTGAAACAAGCATTTTCCTGGTAAAAGGTTTATGACAACTCAAACTAAAATAAACAATTAAGTAAATTAATAATTTTTAAAAAGTTTTTTTTTGTATTCAACGGGAAACGCCGGGCACTTCAGCTAGCATACCATAACATTAATCTAACATTGCTACGTTTTTGGACTTTTAACTAGATTTTGAATTTGATTTTTTGATCAAATTTTTAGCAATTTTTTAAAATGTTTTTTATCATAACTACTCTTATTGAAGAGGTATTGAGAAGAATACAATAATGTTTTGAATTGCTAAAATGTATCCAAATAGATTTGCCTTCTCCTACTTGAGCGTAAAATCAAAACTAGAGGAGCAGCGAGGTCACAAAGTCAAAGTCAAAACAGCGATGTCAATTGAATTTGACCATTTCCACCTGGTTAGTTCGAAGTCATGAATGTAAATTTTCCTACTCTAAATATGGGCTTTTATAAGATAACACCCACAAAGCAAGTTTTATACTTCGATCTATAAATGTATAAAGTATTTTTGTTTGTTTTTTTGTTAGAAATTAACCATTTAATTATTTTTGTTATATCTTTTTAAAATGATTTGTTTTAATGTTCGATACATCAGGATACTCAAATCAAAACATTCCTGCAGCTGAATATTAACTTAAAATAGATATATTATCTACGTATAAGCACAAGTTTACATGTTTTGCAGACTTGAAATGCCATGGGCTTTTAAAAATGCATAACTGATTATGTTCTGAACAGCTTTTTTGCCACCATCTTTTAATTTATCTATATACATCTGGATTTTGCTTTAAAATAATGTTTTAATTATAAGATTATTGAAAGGGCACTGTAAACTCCGGTTCATTTTCTGGTGCCGAGCCGAAAGGAATTGAGTCTTTGCAACAAACTCTGATTTTCTAATCCTAATATCTTTGGATTCCAACGTCGTAAACCTTTGAAATTTCAAACTATGACTTTTGTTAGATCAAAAAATATAAGTTTGAAATATCAAAGGTTTACGACATTGGGTTCCAAAGATATTGGGATTAGAAAATCAGAGTTTGTGGCAAAGAGTCAATTCCTTTAAGCAGCTATAGCAGGCTGTACAGTACACAAACAGACAATTAAACGACACAGCACACATATTGAATCAGCCCCTTCTAGTGTGATTATAGCGGGGGGTTGTACATTTCTTGAAATTGTAAGATGATATAGCTGTATTTAACGTTTTAGAAAGTACATAATTTGAATGTTACAGATTTTGGAAAGATTGGACCATCAGACACTGGTTACCTACCAAGTAACTGCCGGACAAAAACCTATTGTAATGCCGCGGGATTTTGTTTTCCTTTTCCGGGAGGAAATGCGCGGCTCCACGTGGACTGCAGGTGGATGCTCTGTTCAGTTCAACACAGAGAGCAAATCAGATAAAGTGCGGGCCTGGCAATATCCAGGACTGATGATAGCTGAAGCAATTGAAGATGAGAAAACTGAGTTTATTTGGCTGCTCCAGTGTGATTTCGGGGGTTCTCTACCCTTATATGTTTTAAATGGAGCTATGCCGTTTGCAATGAAATTATTTTGTCAGTGCTTGAGAAAAGAATTAAAGAATTTGAAAACTTGAAATTTATTTTTTTAATTTGATAAATTTACAATGTGGGTGACAGTTTTTCTAAGGATTTGGTCAAAATTGACTTAATGCGGGCATCCATCACAGAGTTCTGAATACTTCTAAATATTTGAAATTATTCAATAAACATCAAATAAAAACTAAAAACTAATAAAGCAAAGATATCTCTAACTTTGAAATGTATTTACCTGGAGAGTTGAGCGGAAAACTTTATAATTGAATCTTGACTGTTCGGGCATTTTTGCATTCTATGTATTGCTTGAAGAACTAAGAGTGGTTTCCTAGTTCTTAGATATACGCTTGCAGCCAACTCATTAGTAACTAACTTATCTTGGGCTGAAAAATTAAAAGTGTAAGTGCATTGTAAAAATCATAAATATTTGTGAAAACTTTATCTTAACTAGGCTTTTAATTTTTGGATCATTTAAAGTCCCAAACAAATTTGAGCCCGATAAGTTTAGAAGTTTTGACGTTTATCGGTTAAAAGGAAAGAAACAGACATCCAGACAAATAAAGTATATACACAGATTACTAACCTGCAAGCATAAGATGGTTGAGAAAAAATTTGCAATTTCCTAATAGTGGTTCAGAACAGTTTTCAAGATCCAAAGACACAGTTGGATTAGAATTCAACTTATTGTTCTGCAGCTCTTTTCTGTTCTTCTTTTGCTCTTTAAGGATGTTTGGTAGATTGTTATTTTTCCTGTTTTCCACTGACTGATCGTATAGCTTGATGTATACTTGAACAGCAAGTGTGGCTGCTTCAATAAAGAAGTAATTTTGCCTGAAAATATATATATACATATACATAAATGAATATTATAAATAACAAATTAAAAAGTCAATAACTTTTTCGTTGGTTAAAAAAAAGTTCTTCAAATTATATTTGCAAAAAGTCCTTGAAAATTGTATGTAAAATCTTGTAAAAATAATATTTGTTTGATATATTAAATAAAAAAGTCCAAACGGGATGGTGATAATTTGTTTAAGTAAGAAACAAATAGGTCAACTGACCCCCTACAATGAGATAAAAATAAATATTTAGGGTTTGCTTGAATATTTCTATTACAATAAACTCGTTTATAATTAAAATTGTTAAACTTTTGAGACCTTTGAATGCATGAAAAACCTTGAATATCATAATCACTCTTTTTTTTCAGAGCACTCTTAATCTTAAACCATAGATATCTATGTCTTAAACTCAATCTGACAGTGCTGCACAGTACAAAGTACAGCACATACAAAAAATGAAGTACACAGTACAAAGTACAGTTCATACAAAATATAAAGTAAACAGTACAAAGTACAGTACCTACAATACATAACATACATACAGTACACAGTACAAAGTAAAGTACATGAAATCAGACTTACAGTTTGTAGACAACAGTACAATTTACGGTACATGAATACTAAAACCTGATAGAATCAGACATGGAGTACAAATAATAGAGTACAAAGACAAAGAACAGTACATGAATTCATTAAAAAATCATAAATGCAAAAAATACAATTTTTAGCACAAAGTACATACTGTACAAACAGTACATAAATTCTTATATCTAACCTAATAGAATCAGATTTTCTAAGTTGATCCACATATGTTGACAACCTAAGCTTTAGCAGACTGTACTGGTGAAAATCATATTCAGCTGATTCCATTGTCTTAAAAAATAAAAGATTTTTTATAAAAACATAAGCTTAAAGGGACTAATAAGGGTAATCTGATAGATAATGTGGTATTTCATAGACATTGTATTTTTGTTAAAAGAGTTTTATTTTGATGATTCCAGTATGATGTTTGCCTGCAGTAGAAATGCGCGTGTCACTTTTGTAGAAAAATCACAATATCTGAATTATTTGTTTGAAATTAAATAGATTTTTTTACGGTCTAAGTCGTATGTTGCATCTTTCTGAATTTGTATGGATACTACTACGTTCTTCGGTAAGTCGTTTTTAACAATTTTCTCCTTATAGACGCAACAGATAGACAAGTAAGATTATAAGCGATCAAAAGCGCTTTTTTATCGCATTAAGCCTATACCCCCTTTCATTTTTCGCGAACACTCCCTTTAATTTAAGTCTACATTCCCTTGAAAGGGAAGGAAAAGAATATAAGATAAAGCACGAACTGTAATTAAATTATAAATTGATAATATTTTTTTCTGTTCAGACTCCAAAATATTTTTAATCCAATTTGAATTGATTTTGTTTGACCTTTACATATTAAAAAACTAAAAAAATCTCACTGAAAATTGTGTTTACTAAATCGTCAATAAGTACAATAAATAAAACAGTTTTTCAAAATAATGAATTAACCTTAAATATATTAGATATTGTAAAACAGGCTGATAAACAGTCATCAAATCTGTTTTCTCTATGGTAAGCTCTGTAGAAGATTACTAGTTTAAACCTTATTCTTTAATAAAACATCTGTAAAACTGATTTAACTCTGAAGATAAATGAGGGTTCTCTGTGTTGACATGTTTGAAATTAAACTGTGCGACAATATTACTTCGTCTACTTTTGCCGACATTTAATGGCGCAAGATCTTAAAAAAAAACATTTGAATAGAATAAATAGCAATATATTATTCACCTTCATCAATGTTTCCCATTTCTTTAAAAAATCAATTAATGTAGCACAAAATATATCGATTATATAAATGTATGTCAGCTGAATGGATTTACTCAGTTCTCATTGTTCGAATCTAATTCAAATCCATTTAAAAGTGCTCATGCTATAAAATTTGCTGTCATTGAACTAATTCTATTTTTCTGTTTAGATATACTTGTTTTCAAACAAAACCTTTTTCTTTTAGATTTTACAAAATGAGAAAACTTAAATTGAATTTAAGATTGATTTGAAAAGAGAACGCCCTGGAGGAGATAAAAAGCAACTTATTCCATTTTCCTAAAATATTGGTCCTAAATCAAAATATTCTAGTTTTTCTTCCTAGCGAGGTGGAGAAAGAACCACAAGCATTGTGTAGACTCCAGATAGCTAAGGACTCCCTCTCCACTCTAAATAATGTTTAAACCTTGTGACACCGTCAATAAGTAAACTTGAGGTCACACTTTTGCCGCTTGCCTCAAGTATCGTTAATCTTAAACGCTTGATCTTTATCACGATTCTGGGGTGGGGGCGGGGGGACATGCCTTCTATGTTTTTTTCTCCATTACTTAAAACGACTTACATAATACATACACCATAACGCTCAAACTTTTCACTGCTTCAACTTCTTATAGTTGTGAACTAATTGAGATATAGATAATTCTGAAATTTAGTCGTCAAATTTCTACCCCACGAACTTCTAATACTTTTTGTAAACCTGAGGCCGAATTTAAAGAATTTAAGCCGCGGATCAAATAGGGTTGGTTCCACTTAAAATCGTATGAATTGCTTTAAGATTTAAGCCGCCGCTGAATTGAAACCGGTTTTAGGCGGATTTAAGACACGGCTCAAATTCATTAAATTCGAACACTGGGCATCAACTATGCAGCTCACTTGTTTCTAGCTTAAATTTTAAATGAAGAATTGGCAAAAAACTGCTCGATTTTTTGCATAAGATCGTGCAAATATATATTGGATATTAAGGTCGGTACTTTTGAGCCGAGTATCGTTAATCCTGAATTTTTGAGCCGAGTATTGTTAATCCTGAACTTTTGAGCCGAGTATCGTTAATCCTGAACTTTTGAGCAGCGATTCTTTAATCCTGAACTTTTGAGCCGAGTATTATTAATCCTGAACTTTTGAGCCGTGTATCGTTAATCCTGGACTTTTGAGCCGCGTATCTTTAATCCTGAATTTTTGAGCTGTGTATCGTTAATTCTGAACTTTTGAGCCAAGTATCATTAATCCTGAATTTTTGAGCCGAGTATAGTTAATCCTGAACTTTTTGAGCCGAGTATTGTTAATCCTGAACACTTTCTCTAAATATCCAATAATGCCACTTTTTAATTTGATGATAAATGCTTCATCTCTTGATTTATTTGATCCCCTCTAGGTAAATACAAACACGGATATCATCCATTTAAACAGACAAAGTGCTGATTCATAACGGTGCCCTTTCAACCTCATGTATCTGATCAATAAGGAAGGTATTGTTGTTTTTCAATCTGAGAAGTACTGAAATCAGCCAATTTCATCATTTTTTCTGAATAATTAATGTGCAAGTCAATTTGATAGAGTAACCACAATTAAAATTTACAATTTATAATGAAACTAATCAGTAACTCTGGTTCATTCTTGATCAGACAAAGCTTTAAAAGGTAGCTTTGTAAATTTGACATGCCACTCTAAGAATTAAGAGTGATTTGAATTGAATTGCAACCCCATACTGCATAGTGCATACAACCTAATAATGAAAACTTGGTTGGTATTTGTTGACTTTTATGTTATTTACAATTTCTCTGAATTGTTCCCAATTGTTCCCAACAGATTTGAAACTCTAAAACTAATCATTCTCCAAGATTTCTCGCTTAACTTTCTAAACATTTCTTTCAAGTATAAACATTTTAACATTACTGTTATATAATTCTAGAATATTATTCTAAGTAAGTGTCAAACTCCCCACTAGGCCATAATATTCACAATGGTGCAATGTTTTCTTTTTCTTTTTAATCTATCCCCCGCCCTAATCTCCAGATTAAATAAGGAAACCAAAAAGTTTTTCCCTTGATTTCAGAACAAACATGAAGAAGCATTGCTTCCGGGTTACCTATAACAGACCGACTTCTATTTAATTATAGAAGAAAAGTAATCTTCCTTCCTGGATCTTAAATAATTTATGGCTAGAGCAATTTATTTTTCTTTGTCACAAACTTCCTTCATCACAAAAACTATTTAAATTAAACTTTGAGAAAAGTTTATTTTTTACAAAATTTGTTATGGTATTTATTAATAGTTCTAGTGTTAATCTATATTATAAAGCTCTTCGCTATTTATATATACAGGGTTAACCACAAAGAATGAGACTTTAAAGACGATTGAAGGGAACAACTGGCTTATTTATTGATGAAACCAACAAAATACTCAATTAAATGCAGAAACCAAAAATCAAGATTTAAATCGTCATATTTTTAGAGTTTTGGGTCGTTTTTTCATTCTCATCCTTTGTGGGTAACCCTGTTTAAAAATGTGTATATGTATATGTATAGCTTATAAGCTTGCTAAGCTACAGTACCAAATTAGATGAACATGTTAAGGGAACCCATGGCCCATGGATACCCCGCGGATGACATAAGACGAAAAAAATGTAGGACACTTTAGCTAGTGCAAAATATATCTTGATGGTAATGATGCAGGATGAACGAACTATATGCCTCAGGATCAAACTATGTAAGAAAATCACAGGAATAAAGTTTCTGGATAAAAAAACTGTAAATAAAAACTTTGATAAAAAAGTCACAATTGTTAAGTCTGAGACGTTTTTATGAAAAGGACTTTTCTTCTATGCATTTGCATATAGAATACAGCCAAAGGTGTTTTTAATATTTTAAGTCCCTTTTGTCCATGGTTGTAAACATCCTTCCCGACATTTTAAATGTACAAATATTAAAGATTTTTCGAAATTTACAATCATCAGGTGCTGAAGACTCGAGCCTTAGAGAGAGAAAAACGAAAGATGGTTGGTTCTTACTAAACTTAAGGCCATCCAAAACCCGGGCCTTGACTTCAGCTTTACTTGGGTCTAAGCAGACGCAAAAACCGGGTTTTACTCGGGTTTAAGCTTTTAAAATCTCATCTCCTTTGTCCCTATGCATTTTCCACTATAAGAGAACTTTTTATATTAAATCATACTGGAAGTTGGAACCAGAAAAATAGTCTGAAAATTGTGAGACCTTATTTCCGGAGATTTTTCATTTCAGGGACTTTTTCCGCAGGACTTTTTTAGCGCCAAAATTTAGGACTTTATTTCCGAAAACGTTTTTTTAGGGAACTTTTTTGGATCAGATTAATATTCTAGAATTACAAAAATTTGTGGCGCGAAACCCCCCGGAATTTCTAGAATCATTAATATGCAAATTTGCAAGCATTTAAAAGCATGTGGGTTGTGCAGAATGTTTGACTGGTTTCTGCAAATGGAATAATTAATTTGACAAGTGTAATTTTAGAAGAGAATGCATGCAAAATATAAAATGCGCAACAAAAATTTTAGACTTAAAAATGATTATTATCACTAAAAAAGACAGTAATAAAATAAATTATTTTTTTAAGTTAAAAAACGAACTAAAAGAATTACAATTATGTAAAATAATGAGTGACTAATAAAATTGTAAATGTTAATTAGTTTTGGTGTAAACACCTTCTCATTTAAACAGAAAAATCCGCAAAAACAATTTACAAAGACAAATAGAAGCAGGAACGGTTAACAGCTGTTACTAAAGAAGGGACGTGAAGCGCCCTGAAAGCTTTGTAATAAATAAAATGAAAGAGATTTTTAAACGTCAGAAACGAATACGATTCATAAAACTTCTTATTAAAAATGGAATTTAGCTCCTAGATACAATTCATCATCAATAATGTCATAAAGGTTTTAAGGTACAATTACATCAAAAAAAAGTTCTCTAAAAAAAGGTTTCGCGGAAATAAATTCCTAAATATTGGCTAAAGTCATGTGGAAAAAAAGTTCTTGAAATAAAAATTCTCTGGAAAACCATAATTAAAAATATGGGAACATTCCCTTTAATTACCTTGGTAAACCTCCCCATAGTGTTTATTGCGGGCTGGATTAATCCTGCTCTCAGCTGATATTTGGCAACCTTACTTCCTAAACATTTATAAGTTTTCAACCTTACTTCCTAAACAGGTATATAGTTTTCAACCTTACTTCCTAAACATTTATATAGTTTTCAACCTTACTTCCTAAACAATTATATAGTTTTCAACCTTACTTCCTAACATTTAAATATTTTTCAACCTTACTTCCTAAACAGGTATATAGTTTTCATCCTTACTTCCTAAACAGGTATCAAGTTTTCCATCTTACTTCCTAAACAGGTATCAAGTTTTCTACATTACTTCCCAAACATGTATATAGTTTTCAACTTTACTTCCTAAACATGTTTAAGTTTTCAACCTTACTTCCTAAACATTTATAAGTGTTCAACCTTACTTCCTAAATATGTATAAGTTTTCAACCTTACTCCCTAAACATGTATAAGTTTTTAACCTTACTTCCTAAACATGTATAAGTTGTAAACCTTACTTCCTAAACATGTATGAGTTGTAAACCTTACTTCCTAAACATGTATGAGTTGTAAACCTTACTTCCTAAACATGTATGAGTTGTAAACCTTACTTCCTCAACATAAGTTTTCAACCTTACTTCCTAAACATTTATAACGACAATATCTTCCACATTGTTGTTTAGGTAAATGTTTCATTCAAAGGATACCGTTTACCGTTGTGAATCAGGCATTTCCATTATTGCATGAAGGGACACTTGAAATTATGCTTACAGTCCCTTTAAGTAATAATTTAATGCTTGAGAAAAGTTTTTATTTTATTTTAAAATTGTAAAGCAACTCCTTTGAAATACACTAACTTCAATCCTAAATTGAGACATTATAAGATTAGAAGGAATTAGCAGGAACTAATTCCCATATTTAGCAGATTATCAACAGTTTGCTAATCGAGCTCATCAACATTCCTTCTGTTAATAGAGTAATTAATTTCATTGATTAATAATATTTATTAATTGTGGCCGATACAGCGATAAAAACACAGTGCAAAGGAATTTTCTAAACCTTATTACTTTGCAAGTTCTGATATTTTATACTTTGAATTCTTCTGGATCACATATTCTACAGGGTTACTAACAAAAGATAAAACTTCAGAGACGACTGTATAGAATTAAACGTGTTTCTTTATTTTGCCTTGTCAATGAAGCCATAAAAAGATTATATTAGAGGCAAGAAGATTTACTTTAACCTCAGAATTTTCAAATTTTCAGAGTTTTAGGTCGTCTTTACAGTCTCATTTTTGTGGGTAACCTTGTAAGTTTTAAATATCAAGGTTTACAACATCAGGGTGCAAAGAAAAAGAAATAAGAAAATTTTAGTTCATTACTTAAAAAATTATAAGTAGCATGATATTATAGATGAATGATTTTATGAAAAAATGTGACACTTAATTAAATGTTAAAACGATGTAACTAAAACTTATTAAAATTGCTAATAGTTTTCTAATTAAAACTATGTTTTAAAAATTTTGTTGACACAAGTTTGAAAAGTTGTTCCCCTAGTTTTTAATTAGTTATAACTTAATCAATTATGTTTAGAGGCAAACCAACATCAAAAGATCTCATTTCTATATTTGTACATTACATTTGTTGAAGAATAAAAAACGTTGATTTTAATTTTTCTAATCTTACTCAGATTAATTCAGAAGGAAAGGTTTTATGCTTTTTTTTTAAAAAAAAAAGCTCTTCGATACATTTCACATTGGTTGCAGGTTTGCAACCAATACACTAAGATAAACAAGACCTTCGCTTTGAAGTGCTAAAAACAATAAAAAGTAACAGTAACAAAACCCAAATTCTCATGCTTTCATGCTTAAAATGATTTATACAAAATGTGTTCTTTTTTAAATATCCAAATATTTATTTCTAACTCACTCTTTAATGGCATAGAAATTTAAATATATTTTGTTATTTTTGTTACGTTCTTAAAGGGAGTGACTGGCAATGAATGAATTGAATTGAAAATGTAGTGTTGTGGAAAAATTTTTAAGAATTCTTTTTAGACATATGAGACGTTTTTACGGTGCATATTTGTTCAGCAAGAGCGCAAATTCAATCTTTTAAATTCTTATAGATTGTTTATTTTTGAGGGATGATTTTGAGGATCAGTTTTTAAATATTATTTTATAACGACTACAAAAAATGTGTTAAAAATGATTAGTTGTTCAGAAACATGTTGAGAATAAAGCTAGAAATGAACTTTTTCATCGAAAATAAGTATCTTACTCAGTTATTGGTTTCTGTAATGTCTCATTGTTCACAAACATTTTCCCTAGATTTCTTATGACTTTTATTTAAAAAACGACATTTGAAGAATTTTAAGAAATCTGCGAACAAATTCATAAAGAATAAGAAATTCAATATAATGATGAAAAAGAAATAATTGATTCTAACATTGATTCAAACATTTGTTTTTACATTTTTTCATCGTTATTTAATAATTTAAAAAAAATTGATTCTCAAAAACGTAACCACCCAAATGGTTGTGCTCCAACTCAGAAATAATAAATCATTAAAACGTTTATATATGTCTCAAATAAGTCCTAAAAAATGTCTCCACAATACTACATTCTCAGTTCAACTACCATACATTGCCGGTCACTCCTTTTAAAGGCAATAGTTGATAATGTTCTTAGGATTTAAAACTTTAATCTTTAAAACTGCAAGCTTTACCAACTTCAAATTGTGTTAGTTTTTAAAATGTGTGAATATCTTTTTGTATATTACAAAGATAATATTTTAACAGGGCCTGGTGTTTTTAACTTTTATGTTGTGTTTACTTAATTCTAGCCAATTAAAAAGTCTGCAGCATTAAAATAAGTTAAAATTACCTAGATACTTGTCCCCTGGATCAAGGGAGAATGCTTTCTCAACCTGTTCTAAAGCACCAATCAGGTCTCCTTGGTGCTTCAGTATCCTACCCTGAACATAAAGAACTGGTTTATAAGTTCAGTACCCTACACTTAACATATATAACTGGTTAAATTAGTTTAGTATCTTAATCTGGATTTTAGCTATATTCATCAAGATATTTAAAAATACAATAATTCTGTACAAGCAGAACTTTAAAATAGAAAAATCCCATCTTTGTCAGTAACTTTTTCGTTTAATTTTAAATCTTCATTTGGAATTTTCTGAAATAATGGAAATACATTCCTGGGATCTTCGCGCAATCCCAATCTATTTGTTTTTGCAAGACAATGAGAGAAAACAATTCTGATTTATTAACCTTTACGTTTACCAAGGAGTAAAGACACAGAGATAGGATCGACCCGGTCCGAACTTTCACGTGACTGCAATGCTTTGCAGAAGAACGTTCTTTGTTTAAAGAAGACGACCTATTTAGTTTTTTAAATTTAGTTTAAACTTATAGCAGAGATAAGAGAGTTACAGAGATCAATGGAAAGCTAGAAAATGCGATATTATCTACAGCAGGTTCTATTGTGAACAAGTACTGTACACAACCAATCAGTAGACATGTGTATTCAGGGATATTTAAGGATCCTTTGGATACGAAATACAAAATCTTCAAAATTAGATTAAATTAATAAATTTTATGTTTCATGTTATAAATTGGAGTATTTCTTTAAAAATTGTAAAACTTAACCTCTGAATGGGTATTATATTCAACAAGTGGCCGTTCGATGGCAGTCAAAAAACCTTTCATGTAGCTGTAGTATATGGCGTGCCGGGACACTATAGGCCTGCTCAGCCTATCCAGGTAGAGCATCTGTGCAGACTGGTTCGTCTGTGGGCCCACCCTTGAAAGAATGTAAACAAAGCTTAGCCAGGACAGCACTTCATTTGTTTACATTTCTCCCAGAGAAACTGCAGTACACTCCATTGTTACAGTCCTTGCTTACAATTTGGGTTTTTCAGCGAACAAAAACTTTACTGAAAAAATGCTAAATTGCGCGAATTTCTTTTTGTTTCTTCGCAACCTTTTTCGCAAAATGAATTTAGCGAAAGGAAACTAAAATGATGCGAAATTTTGTCTAAAGAATCAAAAACATGCAACAATTCCAGTTTTAATTTCGTGTTCTTGGAATCCTTAGAATGGGAGATACATTGTACAATGGGGTGAAGTACTAAAGATTGGGTATGTACACGAGAGGGGCAGGGTCCAGAGATAGCAGATGGGGGGGGGGGGAGGGACTACAAAGGATTACAATCCTGTATCCTCGGGAAAACTTAAATTTGAATTTCTCTCTGCTAAAAGGAAATGCTGACTCCATAAAACCTAGTAGAGTAGATGATGTTACCCAGGGTTAGATCAATTCTAAGTTAGAATTTAGAATTTACAAAAAGTTGGAACTTTTATCCGGCGGACTTTAGTTTAAAAACGAGAATAATCGTGTTTTATAACACAGCTAAAAAGCTTTCATTTAAAAGGACTGTTAATGTGTGTTAATGGGTTTACTATTCAATTAAGAAAAAGTGAAAAACCAACCTTGCTTGGTTCCATTTTGCATTATTTTCTACATTTTATTTTGTAAAAAGGTTCGAGTGAATTTTCCTGAGAAATTAAGCAGACTATAATCTAAGATTGTATAAACACTGAGAAGAAAAAACCATGAAAATTGTGCATCAATGTTTATGATTGGGTCCACTTTAAAGTGTAGCAAATCTTAAAAATTGGTGTACATTACCAACTCATATACGCATTTCTGTCTCCCTAAATATTTACATTTTTGAACTACAATCAACTTGTTTCTATAGTTTCAGTTTTATAGAATTAATTATGAAAATAATAATATATTTTTCACAGTTTGTATGATTAATAATAATTAACTGTTTCTATAGTAATCGGTATGTATCAGTAGGCTCTAATGCTAAATCTGGAAGTTTTTATATTTGGTGGGATGAAGGGGTACCAGGTAATGGATAAATGTATTGTATAGATTCGATATTTGAAGTAGAATATGATGTGTTTGTCAGAATTTGATTTATGAGCGCAGTGTTTACATTAAATCATTTAGCAAATAATATAATGGCATTATTATACATTCAACCAGTCTTTAATCCATTTATCATTAGAGCTAGGGTGCATAACCAACCGTATAGTTAATTAGCTTTGGAGTAGTTAAACTACTTTACTATGTGCACTTGTGGCCACATAGTGTATATATTAAGTATATAAAGTATATAAAGTATATAAAGTATATAAAGTATATAAAGTATACAAAGTAAATAAAGTATTTATATCAAGTATATACTTTATATAAAGTATACTAATATACTATAAAGTAGAACATAAGGTTTTTAAAGTATATAAAGTATATAAAGTATATAAAGTATATAAAGTATATTAAGTATACATATAAAGTTTATAAAGTATATGAAGTATATCAGTGTATATATAAGTTCCATGAATGTGAAAGAATGAAAGAAGAAGATATCAATAAATTACCTTTATTAGGTGAACCTCAAGAACATTTGGGGAATGCTTTATACACTTTTCTACACTCTCTACAGCCTACAAGATAAATTGTATAAAATTACTCAAATATTTTCTTCTAAACACAAACAGTCCAAGTTTTATTCTTTCCAAACTTTTTATCTTTTAAAACATTTAGGTGGTTGTTGTAAAAAACATGCTAACCCCCCCCCCCCCC